CTCTGGGTAAATCCAAATTCCTTGACCTGTAATGTAAAGCCATTTGTCATTTGTCCCCTATTTTCCTTCTTAGTTTCATCTGCTTCTAGTTCCCAAATATGCCATAATCTCTTGTTACTATAGTTTTGTGTAAGCCGTTCTCTTTGCTTAGAATTTTCTTTCTCTCATCAGCTAGTTTCTCTTCTTCACATCTTTATTCCTCCAAGACAGTTTCTCTGACTCTCAAAGATGAGGTCAAACACATACTCTGTATGTTTTCCCAGAATGTTTGCATGCCTCTGATCACATTACTATACTAATATATACTATTTATTATTACTATACTAATATATACTAATTATTCCCCAAATCTGTGTCTGCTATAGCATAGCTTCTGGGTGATACATGTTTCCACTTTCATCTCTGACCACTTCTCTTCCTCTCTTTGAACCTCTGTACTCTTCTATTTCGTTAACCTGTTGCACTTTTTGTCATCTCTAAGTCTGTATGTAGGGTTCTCTGTCATCCTTCTCCCTACCACCCTGTGCTCTTGCTTGGATAACATCTCTTTTCATCCTTAATTTACATGTCTCCCGACCCCCCTCTCCCAAATCTGGATTAAATGTGCCTCCTTAATACTGTCATTGCATTCTTTGATGTTCTGTTTTGTACCACCCTAAGCACTGATCTCTAATATACTGTGTGTCTCCTCCCGTTATTGTGTGTGTTATCTGAAGTCAGGATGTGTAGGTTGCTATTTCTCCCCTGATTCTCTAGCACCTAACAGTGCCTCACTAACAACAGTTTGTTGCATGCAAGAATCAATGAGAGTCAGTCTAAAGAAATAAAAGAGCTTAGTCTAGGAAAGACCTTCCATCTTAGCCATTGATTGACTGATACATAAAGTAGATATTTACTTTCTGTGTTCTTCATTTTTCTCATTGGTAAGTAGGGATATCCATATGTTTCTTCTAGGACTGTTTTAAGTGTTAACTAACATTTAAGATGCCTGGTGCATTGCTGGAGACAGTTGGCACTTAATACACCCCCTGTGAAGTGGAGGATTCCTTCTTTCTTCCTTCTAAGTTCCATGTAGTACTCTTTTTTTTTGTTTGTTTGTTCCTTGGGAATCAACCTAGGTGGGCACTTCACCATTGAGCCAGATCCTCAGCCCTTTCTTTTTATATTTTGTCTTGAGAGAGGATCTGGCAAGACATAAGGCCTCATTAAGTTGCTGAGGCTAACTTTGAACTCCAGGATCCTTATTCTTCAGCCTTGGGAGTATCAGTGATTATAGGCACATGCCAGGGTGCCTGGCTCCATGTAGTACTTTTTTGAAAAAAATTTGAAACTGTAATTTTAGTTGTTCAGGACTGATCTCAGATCTCCAGAGTCATCACCAAATGAGCTAAGTCATCCTTTTGCTTTGACTGTTTCCCCAGCTTTCCCTACAGGTCTAAAAAGTAGAAGATCTGTATCCATGACTGCAGTGCCCACCAGTGTTCTAGTAAACCGTCAGACTTCAAGACTCACAGGTTCATGTCTATCAGCCTATTCTTACCAACAGAGCAATGTCAGGTCTTTCTCTTGTGCAAAGTTCTTGGTCCAGGCTGCAGAGTAAGGTGCAAAGAGGAGAGATTTACATCAGGGTGAAGGTGTGATCTTCCTTGAATGGAAACTTCATGTCCCAAAGTAGCCAATTTCTTTTGTAATAATTTTGTAGACATGGCTTCCAGCATCCAGTTAAGGGACATGCACATGAGGAGTCACCACATTCAGGGTGGCCCAATGTATGTAGTCTCCATAAGATATTTATTGTTCACATTTAGTTCCTTCAAACCAAGGTGTAATTTTCCAATCAGAAGACTTGGGGTGTGTGTGTGTAAACAATGTAGTTGATGATCTTATCTCTATTAGATTGACAAGGAAAACAGACATGTCAAGTTTAATCGAAAGTCAAAATCTTGTGCAATGAAAGAGTTTTGCTAACACTTTTCCTATACTGATCCTTTGAGAAATAACTTCTGACAGAATCCTCTCACTCACTGATCACACTAGTCAACCTGATCAAATCTTCATTATAATATTTCCTCCTATAGAAAGCTATTTTATTTATCACACTCTGGATGGGGTCTGTTAAAAACTAATAGCAGGTTTCCCATTTTTTTGGAATATGGTTTTCTTATATCTTAAGCTATATACTTTGTTCTGTTTCAGTGTGTTATTTGAATATGTTTTATTTCGATTATTTTAATGCAGTCATATATTTTGGGTAATGAAGTAGAGATCTATGCTATAATTTCCCCTTGGATCATAGCCTTACTTCTTCACTAACTAGTTTTACCTGTTTCGCTGATGTGAGTATACCTCTGTTAGTGCCCATTAATTTTGTATAAAAAGCTTCTGTAAGCAACTAGGCTCCACCTCAGGGAATTTCTTATAGGATTGCCTTCCTGTCACATCATATCTTGGCTCCTTCTGCTTGTCCATTCCTATTTGTGTTTGGCAATAGGACTTTGTGTTTCACCTTGATGCAAATTTGGTAAGATATATTTGGTCACATCCTGGATTGCACTGTGGTTTCAAATTAAAAACAAACAAACAAACAAACAAAAAACTATAGAGTAGATAAGAGATTCCATACTCTTGCAGTACTCATCTGTGGTTCTCCATAACATCATTTGCCCTTTCATATCTAATAGTGACAAAGTAATCAGGCAAATAGTTGTTTGATCCACAAAACTACAACTAGTACTGTATATCTCATTCATTGTCAGTTGAATGCATACAGGGAGATAGCCACATATGACCTAAGTATGGATGCAGATTTTTAAAGGAAACACATGAAAAGCCTGACTTTTTTCTTACACAAAAATAAGAACACAGCAATTGATAGTGGCAATAATTTGTATATGTAGCAATAAGGGAATGCAAAATAATTATCACAGAAAGATGGGAATAAGATTGATTGTCTCTGCTGGGCACGGTGGCGCATGCCTATAATTCCAGTGGCTCGGGAGGCTGAGGATCCTGAGTTCAAAGAGAGCCTCAGCAAATTAGGCTGTAAGCAACTCAGTGAGACCTTGTCTCTAAATGAAATGCAAAATAGGGCTGGGGATGTGGCTCAGTGGTTGAGTGCACCTGAGTTCAATTCCCAGTACCCCCCCCAAAAAATACTCTATTAAAGAGGATCAGATTCTAGAACTTAATTTATTAGACAACAGTAAATCACTGTATGTGTTAAGGGATAAAGCAGTAATAAACGAGAATAAAATCATGGCATTTTCAGGTAAATGGATGTCATTGGAGAAGATAATGCTAAGTGAAGTACGCCAATCCCAAAAAACACAAATCCCGAATGTCTTCTCTGATATAAGGAAGCTGACTCATAGTGGGGTAGGGAGGGGGAATAGTGGGGTAGCATGGGAGGAATAGATGAATTCTAGATAGGGCAGAGGGGTGGGAGGGAAAGGGAGGGGGCAGGGGCTTAGCAAGGATGGTGGAATGTGATAGACGTCATCATCCAAAGTACATGTATGAGACATGAATTGGTGTCATCATACTTTATATACAACCAGAGAAATGAAAAATTGTGCTATATACATGTAATAAGAATTGTAATGCATTACACTGTCATTTATTTATTTTCTAATCAATAAAAAAAGGAGTGGCACTGGAAAAATTTGAATGACAGTTGGAGAAAATAGCTAAAGCATCCACAGATTATAGGGGAGAGAGAAGTTGAATTGAGGTAAGCCATGGATATGTGGTTGGAAGGTGCTGAGTAGCAGGGAGGCATTAGAATTTCCACCATCATCTGTGGTTTCTATGAAGAAAACCTATGGTGTGAAACACTGACAGAAACAATGCTGGACTAGGTCTCTCTGATTGGATTTGAAGACCTTGAAGTCTGTTCTGATTCCACCCCTGGCCTTCTTGCTCTTGGAGGAAAGGACTCCTAGGTCTACCTAGGCTTATTTTAATTGGGTGTTTCTAAGGAAAAAAGTATAGGAATGAAGAAATAGTAATGCAATCCTTAGAAAATTTGCATCTCAGTAAAAGCAGTTGGCTATTAAACTACAAATGGCTCATTTGCTGAGCTGAGGGAAAAAAAAAAAAAGGAAACATCTCCCTGTTTGGATACTGGTATCTACCTACATATTTCAGTATTTCTCCTGCCTCAGCATCAGTACTATAACTGCTGAATTCTCAATGAGTAAAGATGCTTGAGGCATTTTATTTTTCTGCTGTTATTGCCTCACTTATTTTTTATTTTGTAGGAATCATTATGAATCTGTTCATTGCAGTGGTCATTTACAGGACTTGGGTCAAAAGCCACAGAATCTCCTCTTCTGATAAGATCCTCTTCAGCTTGGGCATCACCAGATTTTTTATGCTGGCATTGTTTCTCCTGAGCATTTTGTACATCATCTCTTCAAATGCTGAAAGGTCAGTCTCCTATTACACATTTTTTCTGTTATGCTGGAGGTTTTTAGACTCTATCAGTCTCTGGTTTGTGACCTTGCTCAACAGCTTGTACTGTGTAAAGATAACTAACTTCCAACACTCAGTGTTTCTCCTGCTGAAACGGAATCTCTCCCCAAAGATCACCAGACTGATGCTGGCCTGTGTGCTGATATCTGCCTTCACCACTCTTCTGTATGTTGTGCTCAGACACATGTCACGTTTTCCTGAATTTACGACTGGGAGAAATGGCACCTTATTTGACCTCAATGAGGGAATCTTGTCATTGGTGGCCTCTTTGCTTTTGAGCTCATTGCTCCAGTTTATCCTTAATGTGACTTCTGCTTCATTGTTAAAACATTCTCTAAGGAGACATATACAGAAGATGAAGAAAAACTCCACTGGCTTTTGGAACCCCCAGACTGAAGCTCATGTCCGTGCTATGAAACTGATGATCTATTTCCTCATTCTCTACATTCCATACTCAGTGTCTACCCTGCTGCGTTATCTCCCATCTTATGTGAGGTTGGGTTTGGGAGTCAAAGCCACTTGTATGATTATTTCTGCTCTTTACCCTCCAGGTCATTCTTGTCTCCTCATTCTCACACATTCTAAACTGAAAACCAAAGCAAAGAAGATTCTTTGTTTCAACAAATAGTGGAATTTCAGCTGTAATCATTGGCTGGAGTTACATATGGGTTGGGACCAAGATTTTCTGTTAGCAGTTTTCTTATTGGTTTGGAGAAGTTATATTTATGTCTGTGATTCTGACATCCTATGTCTTTGGGTGCCTGTATATCAATTAATTTTGCATTTTGTTTTTGCCAATATTTTAAAGTGAGGTACATTCTTAAGGAACTTGTTTGAGGCATTACTTATGATGTATTTTTCATGATTTTTTTACATTTTTGTGTAATGATAATCACCCATTGGTTATTGAAGTATGATGGGAAGTTACCCCAAATTAAGAAACATATTCTGGAGCATATGATGATTTTTTTTGTTATTGTTTAATTGAAGAGTCCTGAGAGAGAGTACAGCAGTATATGAGTAGTCATTGAGAGCCAGTAGACAGGCTTTAGATATAGTAAGGTGGAACAACAACAACAAAAAATTCAATGAAAGTAAATTACTGGGTGAGACAGAGAAAAGTCCTCACACTTGCTGGGTGACAGTAACCACTAGTACTACCAAGAAACCCTAGCACTGAATTTCTAGGTTGTATATGGAAAGAAGGAAAAAAGTAATTTGATAGGTGGAGGGAAGTGATTAGTATTAAAGAATTCAAATCCAGAATAGTTTTAAGGATCTCAAGTCTAGAGAGCTAACTTTCTTGGTTAAAAGCAAGTTCAGATGGTGAAATCAACACCATGTGAGTGCTAATTTACAAAATACTGTACCTCACCTTGCAATATGGAATTTGGTGGAAAGCTAAGAGGAACCATTAGATTGGTATCGGAAATGCCTGACTCTGGGGGGATTTATTTCAGTAGTATATGCATTTGTACAGAGCACAGTTCTTCTGTAGGAGAGCACTCTTCCTGGGCTTGGGACAGCTGGACTGTGGCTCCACAGGAACAAAGATATGAACACAGGATATTGACAAGTTTTGAAATGGGAATTGAGAATTAATTATATAGTTAAAAAATAAGCTTCTTATGACTCATTTATAAAATGCTGATGTAATATTTACATATTTCAAAATAAATAAATCTTCAAATTTCTCTAATTGCCTGTCTTTTGTATTCTGGCCACCAGTTTATTGAGTAAATACTACCCAAACCAATATTTTATAGCAGGAAAACTGTAGATATTTGTCATATTGTAACCTTAAGATTAAGAGACTAAAGGATTACTGAGAATGATTAATGTACACTATGGCATAAGAACTCAAATGAGAGACAGAATCCATTATGGGTCCTCCAATACCTGTTCTTTCTCCTGTCTTTCATAGTATTCAAATTTTTAGCTGTCAAGATTTTTGGCAGCTAACTATATCTTATAACTGCTTCTTCTTCTAAGTAGGTGTTATATTGTCATGTGATTAAGCTATGCCCATAGAGAGTGAGCAGAAGTAATGTTAAATAATTTCTAGGTGTGACTCCAGAACAGTCATACCTTTCTCTTTCTCTTTTACTGTTTTTTTTTTGTTTTGTTTTGTGCCTATGGGCTGGAATGCCAATGTAATATTGCCCATCTTGGACCATCTGCTGAGGTGAATCCTTGGAGATAGAGGAGTTAATACCCATCTTGGAATTGGCTGCATGGTTCCTGCCATGGTGGCCTTGCTGCACCAGTTCTGGACTGTTCATGCCTGAACCCTGGGATTGTTCATCACAAACAAACATCTTCATGCTTTTAGGTACTGTGCTTCAGTCAAATAATTTATGCTTCACCATAAATCCATCTTTGTGATGAAAGAATATGTAATTATTTTCCATCTTATAGTCAAAGAACATTTATATATTACCTGCTAAGTAAAATACAACAAAAACATATATGGAGTATGACACTGATTTTGATAGAAATATGTGCATCTAAAAAAAGCCTAAGAAAAAATAAATAAACATCCAAACAACAATTATTTTAGGTAGAAAGTAGTGAGTAATATTTTTTACATGTTGTAAATTTTCTGTATTGAATATATTATAATCAGTAAAAGCATATACTTTTTTTAAATTAATTTTTTATTTTTTTTATTGGTTGTTCACAACATTACAAAGCTCTTGACATATCATATTTCATACATTAGATTGAAGTGGGTTATAAACTCCCAATTTTACCCCAAATGCAGATTGCAGAATCACGTCGGTTACACATCCACATTTTACATAATGCCCAATTAGTAATTGTTGTATTCTGCTACCTTTACTATCCCCTACTATCCCCCCTCCCCTCCCCTCCCATCTTCTCTCTCTACGCCATCTACTGTAATTCATTACTCTCTTTTTTTCCCATTCCCCTCACAACCTCTTATATGTAATTTTGTATAGCAATGAGGGAAGCATATACTTTTAAATATATACAGTATGTACAGTCTGTCTATCCTTCCATCCATTCCTTCATTCATCAATGGTCTGTCCATTCATCTTTTTAAAGAACAGATGGGAATCTAATATCAATATGCAATTTCTCCTAAGAAAGGTAAGTGAATAGCCTTTCTTAAGTTTTGTTTGAATTCCTTTTCTTGTACAGTATTGGCCAAATTCTGCTTATTTGTATCTTGATTACCCTACATCTTTTTTTTTTTTTCCCTTCAGAGTTGGATATGCTATCTTTGTAGCAGCACTATGAAGAAAGACTGCCTAGGCACTTGCCTCAAGTGTTCTGTGGGCCTGGTTTTTACAAAAGCTGTGTAGGCTTGGAGTTTTTCTAGTTCCATTATGTTCCACTAACTACCTGCCATTAAGTACTTATTAACCAGAATTTAAACAAATTAATTTGTTTTTTAAGATGTAATCATTTATAGGCTCCCATATAAATACGCATTATCTTGTATCTTCATCTATTCTCTGCCTATTTCAGGAGAAGGAGATGTTAAAACTCTGTTAAGGAGAGTCACACTCTGAAGTGGAGGGTGGGTGCCAGGTCAGTGCCTAAATTGTGTCATTAAGTCATGAACATCCACTGTGAAAGCTCTGACCCATGGTTGTGCCATCAGCTTTTAACTGCTTTAAGCACAATGTGTCTGAGCTGCATTTTCACATGTGATTGTATCAGTTCATCATAACCTTTTTCGTAAGGCAGATATTATTATGCTCATTATGTAGTTGAGGAAACTGAGGCACAAAAGGTATGTAAATGTTTCATAACAGTAGAAATAGGAAGGGATTGACCCAGGACTCCAGTTCAAGTCTTCTGACTCTAAATTCCAATGGTTTCCCCACCATATCACAAGGTGGGTAGAAAGACACATAGAGTGGGA